ATATATTAAATTAGTCAATAAATAGTGTAATCTCAAATAATAGTTTAATGTCTAATAAATATTAATCAATAAATTATAACAAAAATACAATAAATTAAATTTAAAGAGTTAAATAAAAGTAGTTTAATCTCCAATAATTATTGAATTTTTTTTTGTAAAGTAACAAAACAAAAATAGATTCATACATAATTATTCAAAATATATTTATCACAAAAAAATAAAAATAATTATTGAAAATACAATAAATATTAATTTTATTATATATACAAATATATAATAAATATAGAATTATATTTTAAAATTATTCTTCATAAATATTAATTTTTTGAAAGTTATTTTCTAGAATTAATAATTGATATAAATGAAATTAGTTATTTAATAATATCATTCTTTAAATTTTAAAACATTAATTATTTATTGAATTTAATAATTGTGAAATTATAATTTATGATATTATTACATAATTTTATTATTAATTTTGTAATATATTAAATTATTATTAATTTGAATATTATGTTATATTTTTTTATTCTTTTAAGGAAATTTTTAAATTTATTACATTATTTTGTTATTTTAACTATTTAAAATCTAATTATGTTAAATATTTTGTTATTTAAAATATTTAGTTATTTAAGTATTTAAATAATATATAATATTTAAAATTTTTCATTATTTTAAAGTTATTACATAATATTAAATATTTGTTATATAATTATTTAGATATTTTTAGTATATTTTATATAAGATATTTAGTTATTGAAATATTTAAATAATACTTTATTTTTTAATGTTAAATTTTTATTATTTGTGTAAAATTTAAATTGAACAATCCAAAAAATCATAATTTATATTTTAGTACATAATTTTGTGATGAATTTTGTAAAAATATAAAATTATTAATAATATGAGTATTATTAAATATATTATAATTATTATTTTTTATTATTTATAAATATTTTAAATTTATTATATAATTTCGTTAGAATATTTAAATCATTCATAAATTTTGTAACTTAAACTTTCTTTAGATAGATATAGAAGAAAAGTGGGGGAGAGGATAAATAGGAATTGGGGATAATTTAGGAGATAAATAGGAATTAGAGATAATGTAGGGAGAGAGAGAGAGAGAGAGAGAGAGAATTTAGGTAATTTTTTTATGGGGAAAGAAAGCATCTCATTAGTTGTTTCAAAAATGACATAGAATAAAAAATAAAAATTCAAAAAAGGAGAAAATTCCTAGATTTCCTTCTTTTAACTTCAAAAAAGGAGATGAGTCTTTAAAATAAGGAATATTAAATGTAGCCTTAGTGGTGTGAGGGAAGTGAATCAACTCACAAGTTATTTGGGCTCGACTTGTTAAATACTTAAACTCAATTCAAAGCTTATCAACTTGAGTTGAATTTGACTTGAGTAGAATTTGAGCTTTGTAATATATACAGCTCGAGCAGCTCGCGAGGCTAATGAAGATTTTAATAAAATATTAGTTTTTAATATATTTTTTATTTATAACATAAATAAATGTTAACTTTTAGATATTAATTTATTTACAATATAAATAAATTAACTTATAATCAAGTTTTCTAATATATATATTTTTATAATATTTTACATATTAATTTATTTACAATTAACTCAAGCCGAGTCAGAGCTCGAATAGCTCACAAGTATCGAAGTTCAAGTATGAAACTCAAAACTTGGTTGAGCTTGAATCAAGTTTCAAGCTCCAAGATTTTGAGTTTAATTTGAGCTCGAACCACCCAAAGCTCGACTTGGCTCTATTACACCCCTAGATGGGCTAATGGGCTAATGGCCTTTTTTATTTTCCTAATTAAAGTGTCAGGAGCCTAGGATGGGCCAAGATCACCAACGACAAGAATGCGATATCCTTTGAGATATTGGAAATTTGGAACGCTAGATGAGTCTAATGATCCACATGGATCTGTTCATAACAAATACTATCCCAAAGATTGAAACCCACCATGTCTGTGGTGTGTGAACACAATAATATTGAAACGTGTTAGAACATTTTGTTATGATTTATGAGCAGATCCGGCCCCTAATTTGCAACATGCCTAAGAGGAGATCACATCTCCGCCCCACAAGAGACCATCCCGCAAGGGGGAGATTATCGGAAGTGGTACTATCATCGGGAAATGTTTCTAATACACGGCAGGGATGTTCTCTGGGGTGAAGATGTTAACTCGCCTAAGGGTACAAAGATAAGGGCACAACTGATATAAGTTCAAAAAAAAAAAAAAAAGATAAGGGTACAAAGATGTTCCCAATTTGATATTTTCAAATTTAAAAAAAAAAATATATCAAAACAGAAAAAAGGCACAGCTGATATAAATATTTGTGGAAGAGAAACACATCTTCCGCAAAGGTTTTCCATCGCATTCAAGTTTGAATTAGTAATTTGCTAATAATTCAGTTACAAAAATGCACTATTGGTGAAGATTCATATGTTCATAGTGCTAATAATTCAGATACCCAAACCCATGTGTGATTTCTACCAGAAATTAAAGGAAATATTCTGATCTTTTATTTCAAAGAACGAGATCAAACAGGAAAGAAAAGGTAAGAAATCCAAAAATGGGAGGGATCTATCAAAAAGTTTCAAGATCAAAATCTCCAAAGGTTATAAAGAAAAAGAAAGAAAAAAAAAAAAAAAAAACACACAAATACGACAGAAGAAAAAAATGTTTGCTTGAAAAAAAGAATACCTTTGTTTTCTTGACTCCTATCAACATCTCTTCCGAGATGAAGAGAGACGTTAAACAAGTTGAGATCTCTATACCCAGTGGAATCTTTGGCGACTTCTTGTCATCTTCTCTAGGATGAAAGCAAAATCTCTAATCCAATCCCCGTTAATCCACACTTGATTTCAAAATCATCTCTACCTTGTATAAAAAGTGTTTGTTTCATTTCAGTAGTACCAAAATTGGCCAAACTCAATACTGTTCACCCATCCGTTTTATGACCTAGAGCCAGAAATAATCCCGACCCTCAGATTAGAATCTTTTCGATCCTAAGCTGAACATTACAAATCTGACTTACCTAAACCCAACACTATTTACCATTTCATCGTAAGACCCATATCCAGAACCGATCCCGATCCGAGGTTCAGAATCCTTTTGGGTCCAAGCCTAACGTCACAAATATGACCCGAACCTAACATTGTTCACCCGTTCATTTTATGACTTAGAGCCAGAACCGAGTCTTCCAAACAACAACCTGCAGGCCTTTCACCCTTGAAGAGCTCTATTGAAAGCTATAGAAAGTTAGAAACCCTAATCTTTTAGGGTCTAATTTGTTTTCTTTCTAGATATGGTCTAGATCATATCTCATTATTAGCTTGGCTACAATCTTCAAATCAGGCCTTTCTGGGCATACATTTGGGCAGAAACTTCCCTTGGTTACTACACCCAAAGGAGACCCTCGGAATAGGTCTCTAGTATGTCACCACTAGACTTAGGTTCCTTTAATCAGTGGACAAGCAAGAAAAAACATAGAAGGGGAAGAAGACCATAAAACAATAGTTCATGTCAGTGGAAGACACCCCTTTTTAGTTCTCTGATACCATGTAGTTTATTGCACGTAGGTTTGTAAGAGAAAAGAGAAAGAAGAGAAGATGATCATTGGGCCTAAGAGTATGCCCTGACAGAAGCCGAACTCTACCCATTTGTACTATTCTATTGATTGAACCAATAAAAATTTTGTAAGAGTGGAAGTTTAATCAGAGCGGTGTTTAGTGCAACAAAGTCTGGTGGTTTATAATTTAATTAAAAACTTCAATTAAAACAAGTTTTCTATTTAATATAAAATTTTGGGTAAATTACAGATAGGTACCCTGTACTTTGGGGTAGTGATAGATAGGTATCTTCAACTTTCAGTTATAACACTTGAGTATCCTGAACTTTCAAAAATAGACACTTAGGTCCATCCATTAGTAGTATTCCGCTAGTTAAATAGGGGTTTCCACGGTTTGGTTAATTGAATCATGGATAATTTTTTCAAACTGAATCGGTCCTACCGGTTTTTTGATTTCTCCAAACCAAAACGAACCGGTAACATTGGTAGCCTGCCAATTTCAGTTTTTGACTAGTTCGATTCTTTGGTTTTCCAGTTTTTTATGATTATAATGTGTATAATATTATATTACAAATAATAAATGATATATAATATATAGAAAATATGTGACATATATTCAATATATATATATATATATATATATATACTGATCGGTTTGGTTAACCGCATTTTCCAGTTTGGTTTTCTTGGTTTGATTTGGTTTTTCAGTTTTTTACTGACACCACTACAATTAAACATTATAAAATGCCAAAAATATCCTTCTCATGTATTTCTAAGATCATTCTCAAGTAACCAAACGTCTCTCCATGATGACGTTCTCACATGGACAGCAAATAACATATTCAAATTTTCCGACGATAGCATTCTTTGGTGATGATTTTATTCCACAAAATAATCTCAAAAATACATGAGAAGGGTATTTTTGACATTATGTAATAATGTCTAGTTTTGAGAGTTCAGATTATTCTAACTGTTGCAATTGAAAATTCAAAATACCTATCTATCACTACCCCAAAAGTACAATATATTTGTAATCTACCCTAAAATTTTATACAAACAAACTCGGATGCCGGCCCAGGCCCATTCTCATTCATATTATTAGGCTCTAGGTATGGGCTGGGGCGGGTCATGACAGCCCTAAAAATGCTTAACCCGTTCCGGCCCATGTTCATCGCTAATTAGGTGGCCGGGTTTTGAAAGGCAGATGGTCGTACGCGCCTACGCGGTGGAACTCAAACGTAACAAACAAACAAACAAACTAGTCAACATTTGTAGGCTAAATACATCACATTGCCAAAATGAAATATTTTCTTCTTGTCAACCATATCTATACTTCCATAGTTGATATTTCTGACTTATGAGTGATTTTGAGAACTTATTCCCTCCCTCACACCAAATTTAATACACCCGAAAATTTCATTACGCCGGCCAGTCTACTTGCACTCCGGGAGGGGAGAACCACACAAACACTGATTATGGTCAAAAACTCCGGCTATCTGCACCCTCCCACCGAACGGAATCTTTCCACACAGCCGATTATAACTCACATTGAAGTAGTCCAGAAACGATAATTCGGTGATCTGGTTGGGAATGGTCCCCCAAATCCTGTTTCGCGACAAATCCAAGTACATCAAGTTCCTATGGAAGCTCACCTTGGACAGATTAAAGTTCAGTAAATTCCCCGACAAATCGATCCTGATACCACCTTCCACAGTCTCGTTCGCTTTGATTAACATCGAAGCATCCCCGACGAGCTTGTTATTTGAAAGATAGATCATCTGGAAGTTGAATCTACCTAAAGATTCGGGGATCTTACCGGATAGCTGGTTGTAAGACAGGTCCAAGACAGTGAGACTGTCATTGAATTTCCCAAACGAGTGGGGGATGCTTCCGGAGAACCTGTTGTTATCGAGATTTATCCAAATCAATTTGGGGAGATCACTGAGAAAAGCCGGGAGTGGTCCTGAGAGCTGGTTGTTTGACAAATGGAGACCCTCAAGCTTTGTGAGACGGCTGAGGAAAGCAGGGATGGGTCCGGAGATATTGGTGGAGTAGATGGTGAATTGCTTGAGGTTGCGTAATTTTCCGATGAAAGAAGGAATGGGGCCAGTGAGGTTGTTTACCACGAAGAGGTTTAAGGATTCGAGGCTAGAGAGTTTGCCAATGGCCGGCGGAATCCCACCGGAGATGGTTGCTTGGGAGATGGAGAGCTGGGTGACGCGCTTGGTCGTAGGGTCGCATCTGTAGTCGAACCACTGGGTATCAAAGGATTTATTGATTGTCTGGAGGAGTCTTTGGTCGTGAGGGGTGCAGATTTGGGCGTCGGAGAAGACGAGTAGTGGGAGAGAAGATGAGATGAGAAGGAGAAGGAGAGGGTGGAGTACAGTAACAGACACCGACTGATCAGTCATGCCTAATTGTTTTTGAGTTGTGACTGGATTCGGATCGACGATCAGAAGTAGTCGATTTGAGAATAAATAGAAGTAGTATGTAGTAAACCCGTGAAGTCGCAGTTGCCAGTTGTTCACGCGGTTCTCTACAAACCAACAATGTTGATATGGGAAAGTGAGCCAGTCAAACAAATTAAGGGTAATTAATTAAAATACCCATCCATTTATTTTGATAAAAATTGTTTATTTTTCAAGTTTTCTCTGCATATTCTTATATATGAATCACCACTCCAAACTCTTCCAATCTCTTAAAGCTATAATCTTATCTCTTTTTTATATTTTTATAAAATCCTTATTGTTATTTTCCATGAAACCAACCACACTATTAACTTTATGGGTATTTTGAACATTTTCTTATTTATTTTTAAAAAAATCTAATAGAGGTGGTCTACTGCAACTGTATCAAAAAATTTGGGAAAGATGATTATAATTACCAAACATCAAAGAGGTTTTGTCGAGCCTTTCATGTTTTCGGATGAGTCTTGTGTGGGTTGTGATATCGACAAGGAATGCATTGTATAAGGAAGGTTTCAACAAATTACCCATACATGGTATGGCCGATTTGACTAATTTCTCAAGTACTTCGTCTGCGCGGACGCTTATAATGAGGCAGCGGCTGAGGCCTTACTTTATCCGTATTGGAATTCCATCCGTTTACAAAATTGATTTTATATTAGTCACGACTTCTGCGAAATAGGATTTCTCCAACGAAATTGATTTTGTATTAGTTTAAAACTTTTTAATTATAATTTTTTTAGTTAATTGATGTAATTGTTTTGAAATGGGTTTTAAATTTATAAAAGTCAATTTTAAAAATTTTATTCATAATTTATAATAAATAATTTTTATTACTTTATCTTAAAAATAATTACAATGACTTCTTTCACTTTTATCAATTTATTGTCATATTATTATTTTCTGTTGATTAATTTTTAATTGTTAATTAATTAATCTAAAAATAAATATAATCATAGATTGCTCCTACTTTCATTCTTAATGATCAATTATAAAATTATTATTTCATGAAATAATAATTAAAATAGTTACAATCGTATATTAATAATTAAAATTAATTAATTGAAGTAATAATTTTAAATTTTTAAGGTTTCTATTAATTAACATTAAAATAGTTACAATCGTATATTAATTCTACTTGATTTTTATCAATTAATTATAATTTTTTTATCTTTGTTATTTTTTAATTTGTGTCAGTTAACTATAAAAATAATTTTGAAATCACTAATTAATTAATAATTAGATACAATTATTAATTAATAATTTAATACAAATTGTGGCCACGCGGTTTGGCTAAGGGCAACGAGGTAAATTTACTCTTCAAATTTAGAGCGTGGTACGAGGATCCTAGGGCTTCGGAAGAGCTTGACTGAAGCCAAGGACAGTAAACCAAGGCGAGGACTATGGTAGCTAAGGGCTATGGTAGTCAAGGACTACTGGCTGAGGCGAGGTCCCTGGTGACCTAAGGCACTGCAAGACAGAGAGTGTCAGAGGCCTCGGGGTGGATACCCGAGGCGGAGGCTCCAATGCTCAAGTTAGTACGAGGTGTGAAGTTGGGGAGAAAGCGAGGGTGCTCTTGGAGAAAGTCCTCAGATGCACCAGATCTCCCAGAATTAATGCTTGGTAAATAATGTGCACACAGGAAGTAAATGAGTGAGTAAATGTTGGATTTACTCTGTTTTGGCCCCTTTTCGGGGGCAGTTACCTCTTATTTATACTCGAGCGTGCTGGTGGTAGGTAGAGATGAACGCCTTAGATGAGAGTCGTACGAGGTCAGACTACAGGCCCTGGCGGTACGCTAGATAGTTAAGTGATTGGCTCTGTACGAAGGCAGCAAGGCTCTCACCTACTGTGGCTAACGCTAGCAGGTGTTAGTGGGCTAGGCCCTCTAGCCCTATGTGGGCTGGGCCAAGCTAACCCACATCACTTGCCCCCCACTCCCAAGACCGAGGAGAGGCCATGGCTTCTGCCTATAATAAGGGTGGTCGTCGAAGTGAAGCTTCAGCTTCGATCATCGGGAGTAGTACTCGTAGTGCCTTCAGAATCGTCAACTGAGGGGTGCCCTACGATGGCATCGTCATTCTTTGGTTTGGAAGTGCGAGCAATGAGGATTGGCGTGGTGGGGGGTGTCCTGTATCTCGCACGGGCAGGTCGCCCTAGCGGGGCTACCGTGTAGGGGACGACCGCCCTAGGAATCCTATGCTTGTCGGGTTTAACGATCCATCCGATGGTCCGCTGCAAGCGAGTCTTTCAATTCACTCGGTGGGTTGCCACAAGCGGTCTCTGCGGCTCACCCGACGTCATTTCGCCTTCCGAGGAGATGCGCTAAGATGTACAGTGAGACTGGTCCACAGGAGCGGGGGACTCCCGCATTCGTTGGATCTGCGCCAATCTGAACCGTCACTTTGAGCATCATTTCATTTTCCGAGGGCTTGCTCTAGGGGCTCCCCCGATCGTTGGATCAGCGCTGATCTGAACCATTGCCTTGGGTGTTGTTTCATCTTCTGAGGGCCTACGCTAGGTGGCGCATTGCGGTTGGATGGCGGGAGCAGATTAGTTTCAGCCGTCGGATTTGGAGAAATCGTGGTCGTTCATTTTCCTTTAAATAGCAGCCTTAGTGGTCCCTTTCTTCTCCATTTGGACTTAGACGCCCTTGCTCTCAAGTGAACGCAACTCCTTAACTCCCAAGTCTCTAGAACTCCTTTGCCTCTTTCTTTCTTCGGGACACTCCATCCTTTTTAGGTAATCCCACGATGTCGTTTCCAGACTCTTGTCCCGAGTGCCATGAACTCCCAAACATCTCGGGAGGGAGCTCTCCTGCAACCCCCTCTCCCTTATCATCTCTAGGTTCCTTAGGTGTAGTCCCCCATTGATGGAAGGTGGCCGTTTTGAGGGAGAGGCTAACCTTGGGGGGTGCTGAAGGAAGTCACCGGGGACGTGACTCTCCTCATGAAAGCGTTTCCTCGGCGTCGCCAAGGGAGCCAGAGGGAGTGCTGCCCCAAGGGTGACTGATGCTGATGCCCCACATTCAGAGTTTGATAGCTCCTTGGACGTATGCCAGGTTAAATCCCTGGTGAAGAGGTTCCATATACCTCGGTCTTATAGCTTGAGGGTACCCGATGTGGGTGATAGGTTGTGGACCCCCAAGGAGGGGGAAATCTGTATCTACTAGCATTTTTTAGAGTTTGGTCTTAGGTTTCCTCTCCCAACCTTATTCTCCAAACTGCTAGAATGGTACGACATCACTATCAGCCAGCTCCTACCTAATGTTCTCAGGACCATCATGGCGATGATGGTGAGGGCTCGACTCAGGGGCGTGGAGTTAACATTGAAACCATTCCGTGCCACGTTTGTGCCGAGGAAGCACGTTTCTGAGGCCACCATGTACTACTTCCACCCGAGAAGAGGGAAGCCAATGCACAACCCCTCTTCCATTCATGGGTGGAAGGACAAGTTTTTCTACGTTTCCTGCCCCAAGGGCTGGCACTTCAGGTCTGACTAGGGGGAGGCCCGCGTCGTCATCGAGAGATGTCCCCCACCATTCCGAGATGAAGAGGCTACAGCAATGTTCATCTACTTGTGATGGGGACATTCCAAACGAAGCCGTTGGTGGAGGAGGAGGTCCCCCTAGTCTTTGCTGGGATTAACCTAGCCCCCCTCGGTAGGAGAGGTTCCATAGTTAGTGCGTCTTCCACGTTCCTTTCTTTTTCTTTTTGCTGATGTGCTAACTGCATTCTTTTGTTATTTCGTAGAAGTGCCAATGGATGTCAAGGAGCACTTGCTGGAAAAGGCCTAGGCAAACCAGGCCGGGAGGAAGGCCGGTGGACAGACGCCGAAGAGGCCTGGCAACGAGGTTGCCCCTGCCCCGGGAAAGGGGGGGATTCGCAAGTACCTACCAAGGGGAAGAAGACGGTGGTAGTGCCGAAGAGGACGATGGTGGCACCGAAGAAGCCCAACACCAGGGGAGAAGCGCCTAAGAAGCCCACCACTCGGGAAGAGGCGCCGAAGAGGACCGCAGAAGGGCTTGAGGCAGGAAAGAAGAGGCCTGTCGGAGACGCGTTGAGGGAGGAGCCTTCATGGAAGCTTGCCAACACAATTAGGTAGGCAGAGGAGGTGGTGCGGAGGTCTGTGCCTGGAGAGCGCCCATCTGGGCCTTCATCAGCCCCCCCCCTTGGTATAGGGCGCCTCCGAAAGGACCGAAGGGGTTGGCAAAACTTTCTGCTCCCAATGGTAGCTCCGAGAGGGGGACTCCATCTGCAACGAGGGGGTCAGCCAGGAGCTGGTCAGCTGGTCCATTCTGCCGAGGGATCGCTACCGCCTTCTACAAAGTCATCCCACGGCGATTTATGATGAGTGCCTATATCTCTTGGCTGAGGTAAGACATTCTTCAATGCTTCGCCGTGTGTATGTTCATTTTATTTGTTTTTTGTTTTCACTGATCAGTTTTGTGGTAGGCCTGTATACACTTTGCCGGCTTGGGGGACCGAACAAGGCTGGCCATGGGCCGCGTCGACAAGGTCGAGAAGGAAAGGAAGGCTGCAGAGGAGAAGCTCCAGAAGGTAACCGCTGTCACTGAGGAGAAGCATCAGAAGTGCTACAAGGCGCTTCTGGACGAACAATCACTTTGTGACCGCCTCGAAGTTCAGCTATAGGAGGCATGGAAAGGGATCTCCAAAGAGCAAATTTGGAGCGGGTAAAGCTGGAGAGTATCGCCACAGAGGTGGAGAGATGGGCTGCCTAGGCCGAGAAGAAGGCTGTCGAAGCCCTAAAGAGAGCTGCCGAGGCGGAGGTGAAAGTTGCTGAAGCCCTAGCTTCGATGGAGAAGTCAAAGAAGGCAATAACCGAGGCAGTGGAGACATATAAGAATTCGGTTTACCTGGACGCGTTGGCGAAGTACGCTTCATCATCTTATCTCGACGGCGTAGAGGACACTAAGAAGGCACTCCTACTAGTGTTGTCGGATTTTGACGTCGAGGAACTACAGGTGATCCCCGATGCT